CGCCCAGGTCGCCGTTGAGCAGGAGTGAGAGGCCCAGCAGCGCCCCTGCGGACAGAGAGACAGTCACCGCGGGAAGCGCGGACCGGCCCCCGCGACGGGCATCCGGACTCTTCAGGGCCCGAGAATTCCTTTCTAGTCACATTCCAAGCAGAGCCCCTGGCCATGCCACCTGCAGACTCACCAGTTTTTGTTTTTTTAACTTGGATCGGGGTTTTCTATGTCAATTAGAGCAGGTATGACATGAACTTAACTCATTAAAAATAAACACATAACCAAAGCCATCTGTTCTCAGAGGCCATGGGCCAGGGGGGGTGGCCCGGCCACAGGCCAGTGGGGTTATCTGGCTAAGGGCTTCGGTCAGCACTCCTAGGTTTTCCTACGAGAAGCACTGAGGCCTCTTTTCTTTTCTTTCTTTTTTTTAATTTCAATCCCCGAACAACAGACCTATGGCCAGGACAAGAATGAAAGGGCGCCTCCGTCCAAACCTTGAAGTACATCGGTCACTCCAAGCGCCCAGGAGCGGCTGCAGTAGGAATCCTGGAACAGAACGGGCAGTGGTCATGCTGGGGTCCCCGCGGCTCAGGGCCCCACGGACACAGCCTCCACACGATCCCGTGGCTCAGGACCCCACAGACACAGCCTCTGCCCGTTCTGCCCGTTCAGGGGCCCCCACGGGCACAGCCTCTGCCCGTTCCCGTGGCTCAGGGGCCCCCGGACACAGCCTCCACACGTTCCCACGGCTCAGGACCCCACGGGCACAGCCTCCGCATGTTCCCGTGGCTCAGGGCCCCACGGGCACAGCCTCTGAACGTTCCCGACGCGCCTGCGCTCGCACGTCCCCAGGGTCTCAGACGTGGGGAGTCAGCGATAAACCCCTGCGCTAGAGACGAAAGACAAACAGACCCTCGGAACCACTCTGCTCCCCTCATTTCCTCGTCAGGCCCTTTTAAGTCCCTAAGCAGCCATGACCTTGGGAATTCAAGCATTTCCAGGCCCTCCCAGACCCAACCCACGTCTAGTGTTCGGCTTGGACTCTCTGGTGTGAGCTCGGCACCAGATGGCGCTGGTCTGTGGGGGATGGGAACCCTGTTCTCTAAGCTGGTTTATTTTTTTTATTTTGTTGTTTAAAAAATATTACTCTCTCTCAACATTGATGTTTCTCTCTCTCCCTCCCCCTTCCTCTCTGAAATAATAATAATAATAATTTTTAAAAGTTAGTCATTTAAAAGTGGGTTTTAGTATATTTGCGTGATTATACAACCACCACCACTCCATCTGAACTGGGACCTCTTGATTCTTAGGTTGATGCTCAACCACTGAGCCACGCCGACCGGGTTATAAGCTGGTTTAGACAGTTTCCTAAAATCCGGGGGCCGGCCGGCCATGTCTGGGCTTCCTACGGCCCCGGACTGATGCGTGGACTTAGCTCTTGCTCCTCCCTTGTCTCCTAGGGACCCATGAGCTGCTTCCACCGAGGCTCCGGGGGCACCGGGAGGTGTGGGGCACCCGTGGGGCTGCGGGCTCACCGAGGATGGGGCTGATGAACCACACCAGGCTGTAGAGCTGGTCCGGGAGGCCCATCTGCAGGAGCACGGGGGTCACATAGGCCGTCTCCATGGCGTAGCTGAACTCGATGCCAAAGAGAATGCAGCCGTTGAAGAGAAGCTCCCGGAAGGACCTCTGGGGGTGCAGGTCCCCGAAGTCCACCAGCTCGATGGGACACGGGGTGTTAGGGGGCGGGGGCGGGGAGGGGCGAATGCACTTCCTCCTCCTGGGGTGTCGTTTGAAGTTGTTGGCCCGGTGGCTGATGTGCCGGGTGGCAGACCCCGCGTAGCCCGAGATTGGGGACCTCCAGAAGTCCTGGGGCACCGCGGCGGGGAAGAGGGCCTCTCCCGGAGGGGGGCTGCTCGCGGCGGGGATCATCGCGAGGGGGGCCGCTGGCAGTTCCTGTGGGGAAAGCCCATTCGGAGGCCAGTGGTTACTCACCCACCTCCACTTCGAGGGCCAGCTTTCCCAGGGGCTCCCCTCCGCTACCCCGACTGCACCCCTTTCCATTCGGGGAAAGTTGAGTTCACATTGGGGGACGCTTGGAGTTCATCCGTCCACATAGCCACCCACTCTTCCTCTAGCCTACCCATCTGCCCATCCCCTCCCAAACATACAAATAAGCATACATTCACCCATCCCTCCTCCTTCCCATCATCCATCCACCCACCCTCCCTCCCACCCCCTCACTCACCCATGCAACCTCCCATCCATCCTCTCATCCTCATATGCGCCTACCCATCCTCTAGTCCAGCGGTTGCCAACCGGTGGCCCACAGACCACTGGTGGTCCATGAGGTCTGAAAGGTTGGCGACCACTGCTCTAATCTACTCGTCTACCCTTCTAAACATCTGCCTGCCCGTCTGTCTGTCCATTCATTCATCTACCCATTCATCCTTCCGGCCATCTTTCCACCCACCTACCCACCCACGCTCCCTTGCAGTCAAGTACGGAGTATGCAGCCATTGGCTGCAGAGATAAAAGAGACATCGTTCTTGCCCACGAGTTGGGGGGAAGAAGGGAGGAAAGGCCTTCTAAACAGGAACCACCCAGGTAAGCAGCGCAGGTGCAACATGTGGGCCTGATGGTGCGGGGAGAGAGGAGCCATCAGACAGGGATTAGCTGATCACCAAGGCCCTGAAGGCCTGCTAAGAGATGGATGCCATCCCCAGAGGACAGGGATGGACTCAGTCGGCTCTCACCTCCATAAGTGGCTTATCTTGTGGCCTCAGACATCCATGCTCTTCTCTACAACAGGAACAGGTGTACCCAAGAACTATGTGCACAAGCCGTCCTTTGTGACGAATATAATTCATATGTGACCATCACATCAGGATTTAGAATTTGTTAAAGTTCACCCCGCTGTTTGAGTTCCCCTGGTCTAGGTCAGGCCCTTGTACATCCGACATAATAAAAGCCTAATATGCTAAGTGTCCCCTGAGGCGGCTCAACAGCTCGCTATGCCATGCACTGACTACCAGGGGGCAGATAGTCAACCGGTCGAACAGTCGCTATGCTGTGCACTGGCCACCAGGGGGGCAGACGCTCTGACTGGTAGATTAGCTTGCTGCTGGGGTCCGGCCGATCAGGACTGAACGGGACAGGCCAGACACGCTCTGGAGCTCTCCCACGGTCTCTCCCCGGCCCCAACCATGCACCAGTGGGGTCCCTCGGCCTGGCCTGCGCCCTCTCACAATCCAGGACCCCTCAGGGGATGTCAGAGAGCTGGTTTCGGCCGATCCCACAGGCCAGGCGGAGGGACCCCACCAGTGCACGAATCGATTAATAAAGATACACCTGCCCATGCAATGTGAGTGCTCAGAGTGACCCTCCTATGAGCCAACTCCTTTCCTCCTGTCTTTCTCTTCTAAAGGGAACCAGCCTTCCTGCCACAGGGTCACCCAGGGCCGCACGCCTTCCACACTCCTCCTCCCACCACTCGCAAGGTTAATGCCTCGTGGGCTTGAGGCAGGAATTTAACAATCTGATGACTGAGTGGTGGCCCTGGCGCGTGGCCGGTTGGCCCGAGGAGCCCTGGTTCCGTGCGCACCTGCCTCTACTCCCTGCGAAGCCGGAAGACAAACCCTGCAGTGCCCGGGAGCATCGGGGGTGACAGCGTCCAGGACGGCCTCGGAGGGAACCCGCTGCTAGCAGCCTCCTCCTGCTTCAGCCTCGCCTGCCTCTCCGCAAAGGCGGACCGGGGCTGTGCTAACCTGACCGAGGCTGGAAGGTGCCACCCAGGCCCCTGCGGCGGGGCCAGCCTGGCGGGGAGGACACCTGCCCAGGTGACTCAGGAACAGGCCTCCCGCCCGCGGGG